CATCCTCTTGGGCGCGTGCACGTGGCGCCTCTCTATCAGACCTCTGTAGAGCTGCGGGCTGGGCGACACCTAATACATTGGCAAGGTTTTACAATCTGCAAGTGGAGCCGGCTTTCTCAAGGGTATTAGGTAACCCTTGGTGATTGAGGAAACAATTCGGTTAGGGTGTTGAAACACGCTTGCTGCGCCATTCTCCCTAACACGGAGATACGTGCACCTTTTTATCTGTCAGTAAAGTTCCACGTCAGGTGAGCGCTGCAGATTCTTTCGAGGCCCCCAGCACTGACTCAGTGGAGGAGTCACTTGCTGGCCCACTACGTTGTAGGTCTGCCCGCTGGTCAGCCCGCGTTTTGGGTATAGGTGCCCGCTATGCGTGATCCCCACTAGGCGATCCCATATGCTTATTCATCCACGGTGCAGTCCCCCCTCACGGGCGGTCCCTTGTCTTCCCTCTCCGCTAACCATCTTATTATATGCGTACTCCCCCTTTTCAGGGCTAGTCCATATGTATTTTTTGCCATCATATCTCCCCCGTTGGGTAGCAGATGGCCTCCGCAGCGTCCTCCCTATCGGGACTGCACGCTTTCCCAACGTACTGTCGTATTTTCCTAGAATTATCTAGACGCTTGCGACTTCTCAAAAAATATATCTAAATCCGTAAAACTTCTTTTGAAGTGGGATAAGTAAGGGCCAGGGATCACGTTGGAAGACCGCGCCTCTCTTTGATGCAGGATCGCTCACGCTATGCCTGGCTATCCTCTCATCGGAGGCGAAAGTAAGGTGCAGTCATTATAGCGTTTTCCGGACATTTCCCCATTCGTGAATTAAATAAATTCACTGATAGCATTGAAGTTCCCCATCCGAAGGGGAACGCTCTGGTTACTAAAGTAACCCTCCGGAAATGCTATATAGCATTGCCATAATGATTGTTCCTTAGCTGTAAGTGTCAGTCTCTTCAGCTTAAAAGGATGGCGTTTCCTTGCTTTCCCTGTCCTTATATGCGGAGCTAATTGGCAATAAGTTCCAGGTGCGCTAGCTTACGCTGCCAACTCATTTGGCATTGCATTGGCCCGTTGTATACTCTTTCAGACGACTGGCTTTCTGAAACGAAATCCCCATTTGTGGATTAACTAAATTCACTGATAGCATTTCCGTTCCCCCAGGAGGGTTACTTTAGTAACCAGAGCGTTCTAGGCACAGTCTGTTATGGGTTCATGAAGTGAGTACCAAGGCTCAAATAATATGAACAGTGAATAATTTATTGATGTTCCTGGAACCACTGTCTTTCTCCCTTACTTAATTTCTTAGTAAATGTATTTTTCAGTTGTTTTCGATGAGAGCACCACATTTTTAGAATGTGAAGTTCGGAGTTCTTTGTTTTTTTAATGCTCTGACAGTTAAAGAATGAGTTAAATGTTGCAATGCAGAAGTGCTCTTAAATACTCACAGCTAAGTATTTTTGGAAGACCGCTGTTTTCAGCTGCACAAAATGGTTTGAGGGACACGTGCCTCACGCATGTTCTTATGATCTCATGATAATCACATCGATGTTATAAGTCATATTGCAAGTAGCAAGTCCAGCACATGCCTGACTGGAGTAGTGTGTTTTTCTTGAGGGTGGGAGGAGCACACAGAATTGTTAGATACAGAATGCCATTTGGGCTGCCTTGTTGTGAACGCAGTGCCACAGAGAACATTATATTTCATACACTTTAGCCTCTTTATCTATAAAAATATTTATTTTCTAAATAATCAATGTGAATTGTTTGTTTTGTAATGCATACTGAATTGAAATCCTCATACGAATGCCTCATTACCATTAGAAAATCCAAGAGTTCAGTCAAAGCAGAGTGAATCCGCCTTTTGCTACTACGCCATTCAAATCAAGGCTTAAAACACATCTGTTTAGCTGTGCCTTTACCTAATGAGCACTGTGCTACGTCTGACAGATTGCACTAGTATGTCTTTCTTTTTTTTCATTCTATTATAACCTGTTCAATTACTTTTTAATATTTTTTATTATTTTCTTATACTTGTCACTTTTATTCCTGTTTATGTAAAATATTTTGAATTACCATTGTGTATGAAATGTGTTATATTAATAAACGTGCCTTGCCTTGCTTTATTACAAATATGTGTATTGCTACGCTTCTAATTTACATGTATTTGATATTGTTCAGTCTCTACTTTAAACAGTTATGCTTGTTGTATTCTTGTAGTCTAGTAAAGACCTTCTCAACGATATAACAAGATTTCATGTATGATTCTTAACAGATCACATTTTCAAGTAGTAATTTCACTTTAAGACATACTCGCTAATTTTGCATTTAGCTATTTAATTTTTCATCACCTTTTTCACCTCATGTTTAATAACATTACATTTTAGTTTGAGAGCAGACACTGACGTCTATACACTTAAAACAGTTTCGGTCTTGGACTTTTGGACTCTTAAAACAGACAAAACAATGTCGGCCATCAAGTTGAGGCTTGTAATGACTAACTTTTATGTGTCCTAACTATGAACTTGGGTATATAGAGAGGCCAACTGCTGTCAATTGTCTACAATTCTGTTGTCTGATTACGCATTTCTGTTACTCTCTTTTGTGTGAACAAAGGCATCGTAAAGTGAAAAATGTAAATAGGTATGGCTACAGCATTTACAAGAAGCCATCAACTGCCAAAACCTGGAAACAGAGTCCCTGGCAATGACCAGAGAGCACATGAAAGCATACCCTCTTATTGGAAAATAATACCCTATATAATAGTCCCTGGGGCTCTGGCTAATTATACTGCTTTATGAGGAGTCATGGTCATTAGCTGTTATCTATGGGGGTGGGAGAACATGACCTCTTTCAAGTTCATGTCTCTAACCTGTCCATCAGTTTCAAACCAGCTGGAATGAATGAGAGGTTTTCTTTCTTGGTTTTAAAACTTTGATATTTTTCACTGTTGCTGATTTTTAGAATAACTTAGCTTTTCCTTTTGTTTTCTGTTAATTATAGTTTGTAGTCATGTAGATGGAATAAATGTGTGTTTTTACTTGTTGGCTTTATCCTTTACACTACCTAATATTTACTATTTAATATTATTATCAGTAAGTTTTTTTTTAAATAAATTAATATTTTTCATTCAGGAAGGCTATAAAATAAAAGTGACTGAAAAAAACGTGTTAAAATATATTTAATTTAAAATGTCTAGCATTTTTTTAAGGTGTTAGTAAAATAAAAATAAAAGTTAAATTATAGTTTTTATTTTATATACCACTGTATGTAAAATCTTCTATAAACTGTTTATATGACTTATAACTAGAAAATTATCTTAGTTAAAAACTCTATTTGAGTTTTTTTAGCATAAAAAATGGTTAAATTAACAGAATGTCTCCGTACTTTGTATGTGACCTTTTTGCTGAGAATGTTACACTTCTGACAGGACACTAAAAAGTGTAGAATAGTAGCCATATAAGCACCATGGTGCATTCCATTTGTCCATACCGTGGGGCATCTTGAACTGAAATGCTGATAAGGGTCTCTCATCAGCTGTTAACAGAGTAACAAATTTCACTGGGAGCTGCAAACAGAAATAAAGCTGCTGGGGCACAGGTGTGAAAACACCATGACAGAAAGAATTAGAAAACCGATATCTCTCTGAAGTGTATGATGGCATGAGACCTGAAGCAACACCTGTGTTTGAGTTCAGTTAAAAAGCAGTGAGAGATGGAAAGCCATGTTTCAAAGGTACAACTCGATTGCATTGGTCTGTGTGAATATGTTATTTATACTCTATAACAGCCTATTTATACCTTATTTTTGTAACTCTCTGAATCTAGTTTTACACATTACAGGCCCGTAGAAAGGGGGGGGGTTTGAAAGAACTACTACCCCCCCCCCCCCCACACACACACACACACACTGACAATGAACCAAAATTTGCCATTGGTCCAGAATTTTTGCCACTATATTCTCATTTGACCTTTTTTGACTGCTGAAAAAAATTGACCATTGAAAAGGTCAGAAGCACTAAAAACAGCCTATTAAAGTTCATTTTAATACTAATTAGGCTGTGTATAAAAATCCAAAATCAAACAAAAAGTTTTCAAAAGTTTTTTGTCGATGCTCTTTGTGTAAGGGATTCATCAGAATAAACATCAAAAGTCAGTCCAAGGGACTCAGAAAATGTAGAAAAAATAATAAAAAGCCTTTATTGACATGGTTGCTCCTTGAAACTGCGGCTACATCAGGTTACCCTGATGAAGTCAAGTGTTGTCAAAACGTGTAGTCGCAGTTTTAAGAGATACCCATGCCAGTAATTTAAAAAAAAATTTTTTTACACATTTTTCGACTGACTTTTGCTCTTTATATTAACCAGGCTGTTGTTTTAGATGAATTTTCGAGAGAGGCTCGAAGAAAATCTTGAATAATAATTCTGACTTCAACTGTGTATATAATATACTTTTCCCACAGAACTGTCTCCCTTTTAAACTCTGCCCCCACTGACTCTTTTACCCCCCTCATATTGTACACCCCCAAACTCTCCCCATAACCACTGCACTATTTAATATTTGCACATTTAAAATTGTACATATTCATAGCACTTTGTTGCACTAATTCATTTTGAATTGTACATATCCACTGCATGTATACATTTGTAATTAGGTTCATATCTGCATAGTTCAGATTATTAATAGCAACCTATACATATATTCATATATTCTAAATCTCTGATCATAGTTAATACAACCTGTATATAATGTTCATAGTACATCCATCTGTAAATATCACCCACAGTTGTTCTATATCCTGCACTTGCTGCTATTGAAATCCTGGTTAGACCTAAGCTGCATTTCGTTGCCTTGTACTTGTACATGTTTTATGGCAATGGAGTTGAATCTAATCTTATCTAATAATGTTATGTTCTTAGAGTATGTTCTTTACTTGAGCACATCCAACAGAGTAATCCAGCGGAGCACTGTTAGCATCTATGGCCTTCTGAAGCACACTTACCATTGTAAAATGTTGGGAAGGAGCTGATTTATTTTAGAGTGGACCATCAAGAAAGATCTCAATGAATTCATACCCATTGGCAATGCCTGAAAGTAAGATATGGAGTGATAGAGTTAGAGTATTAGAGTATTCAATCAACTCAATCTGCATTATAATCTCAACTAGGTGCAAAAACTAGGGGAGAAAAAAAAAGATTTTTCAAATAAAAAAAATAGATTTTTCTGACTGATATTGGGTTAGATTCAAATGTGTGCAGCAGACACTAAATGAACAATGCTTTAATTCTTTAAATGTCTATACTGTAAATATGGTTTACTGTAAATATGGTTTACAATAATGCTGTATTAGTTAATGCCAGGAGGCTTTTCTGTGCAGTCTTTGCATTAGTTTCCTTTAGATCAGGGGTGTCCAAACTCGGTCCTGGAGGGCTGGTGTTTTGCATAGTTTAGCTCCAACTTCCCTTAACATTCCTGTCTAGAAGTTTCTAGTATACCAAGAAAGAGCTTGATTTGCTGGTTCAGGTGTGTTTAATTGGGGTTGAAACTAAAATATGGACAGAGTTTGGAGACCCCTGCTTTAGGTGCTCTGATGTTCTGAGATTTTATCCTAGCTATTAGATTATGCTACCAACACTGTATTTAAATGGTTCTAAGGTTGGGCTTACGTAGGTTGGGGCGATATTACAGTACATCTTCACATCACACTAATCCACATTACAATTGACACTGGTAGCAAAATCTGATGGATAGCATATTGCATCATCAAAATGTGCTACCTACTTTTTGAATGAGAGGTAGGACAATCTAGTAGGGTAGATCAAATCGACAGAACACCAGTTTACACCACAGTCCAAAGAAATTCAGCATTGGTAAATTAGAAGTATATGACTGTGTGGTAAATGAGAGAGTGTATGGGTGTTAAAACATAACCTAGAGTTTATTTCACTGTAGAGACCACTGATAATCATGGACTAAGCTGAAGGATAGTGAGGGAATGTATCTCTTCTGATCCTGTGTCTACAGAACACATCCAAGTCCATAAAACCTGACTATAATCTTCATACTCACCTTCAATTCTTGTGTTGTTGCTGTTGTTTTCATTAAGAGTATCATCTAGTGATTCCATTGAGGTTTTGGTTGAGATCGCTGGTTCTGCATCAGTCAGATCCACTACAGTCAGTTCATCTTTTTTGTCATTTGGAATCACTGTGGCCTCAGGGGTGGACAAATTCTGTTGGTTTTCTTGTTTAACATCAGGTATTTCTGTAGAGAAATTATGTAAGAATTTGGTTTGGGTGGTGAAATAAAAAAAAGTAAAATTCTTCTATTAACATGACACAAAAACACAAGTCAATGTAATCTGTTTTAAAGGTCCCCTATTATGCATTATAAAAGGTCATAGTGTGGTTTTGGGGGTCAACAATAGTCCGATTTACATGTGTGGCCAATAACCCTTTCATTGTCTCATAACATGCATTTAGTTCAGCGATTAATTTTACTTTTCATGACTGTAATCTGCATTGATTGGTCTGATGACCAAATCTGTTGTGATTATCGTTGAGTATCATTTTATTTGAGCAATTTCAGTTCCAATTTAGATTTTGCTTATTAAATCCAGTTCCTACCGATTTTCAGCTCTAATTCCAATATTTTTTGGAAGAAACAATAAAATAACAGCTTACGATGTGCTTTAATTAGTCTTTATAGCTGTTTGCATCCAATAGATGGAAAGTTTAAGTTTAAAGCTTCTACAGGGTTGAGTTATTAAGCTATAGTGTGTTCAACATTGTCACATGCCCTGGCAGATAGATACAACTGTAAAATGCTGACTGCCATTCGCCATGCGAGAATGACTGAAAAAGTCAGAAACCAATAAACGAAATAGAAATATGCACATTTTATTGAATACCTACTTTTTTGATATTTAGAACTCTACTCAACCCTAATTGTGATTGATTTAGCAAAATACCCATCACAGCTTATGAAGTGTTAAAGCACAATCATCCATGGTACAGAGTATATGTGTGAGCCCAAATCCATTATTAAAATAATGTAATGTCTTGTAATATATTGTACTATTGTAAGCGCTTTACAATCATAAGGCGGGTCTCTCCACACCACCACCAGTGTGCAGCATCCACAGATGATGCGACGGCAGTCACAGGACAACGGCGCCAGTGCGCTCAACACACACCAGCTATTGATGGAGTGGAGAGACAGTGATACAGCCAATTCGTTGGATTGGGATTATTGGGAGGCCATGATCAGTAAGGGCCGATTGAGGGAATTTGGCCAGGACACTGGAGTTACACCTCTACTATTTACAAGAAGTGTCATGGGATTTTTAATAACAACAGAGAGTCAGGACCTCGGTTTAACGTCTCATCCGAAAGACGGTCAACATGTTAAATGCAAATGCTAAAAAACAAATTATGCAGTTAAACACTTGGATATTGCTCTGTTATTAATTATAACTAATAATAATGTCTACAACATTCAGTATTAATTGACACAGCGGCAAAAGTTTAACTATTCTGAACACTGACCACATTGCGCTGTGTGAGCAAGCTTGTTAGAAGTGCGCACTAGTTTTTTCATTTTAAAATGAAAGCAAAAGCAGTGTTTTTCATGTCCAGTGTTTAATAAGAGCTGATAGTGGCCTAGCAACAACAGTACCCATGGGATTGCAAGCTCAGAAGTGTACATGTAACATTTTAGATGCAATATGCTAGTTAACCGGAGAGATACAGTACAAGCTGTGCAAAGCGAACTCAACAGAGTACAAGGATTTTATCATTCTAATAAAACTTACAGATTGTGATCTGAAGGAATAAGAAACTGGTTCATAAAAACTGTGTACTGATAAAGTTCAATTAGACTATACACTTTGATGCTGATGCTTCTTTTAATAACAAGTAGAATCCTGTGCTAGGTAGGGTAAGCTAGGTTACTGTCGCATTCATCTGTAAATGACAGGAAGACAGCACAAGGTTGGCCATAATGTGGTTATGTTGTGAAAATTATCTTTAACCAGTTTTCCTCACAGCCTTATCTGTAGGCATCTCGCTGTGATTACTCATCTTCACATCATAATGCAATCCCATCCCCCACAATCTGCAATACACTCTCAGAAATAAAGGTACACGAGCTGTCACTGGGGTGGTACCTTTTCAAAAGGTACACATTTGTACCTAAAAGGTCCATATTGGTACCTTAAAAGCATATATTAGTACTTAAAAAATTTAAGAGGAACACTTTTGTACTTTTTTGGTACTAATATATACCCTTAAGGTATTAACATGGAACTTTTAAATTTAAACCTTAGCTTGATGCTTTCATTAATTTAGTGCTTGGTTACACACTGCATGAAAGGTCTTTTTCAAAAACCTATAATAGGGGCTTTTTAATATTGTTTTTAGGATGTTTCCATAATTTCATTTATTTGATTTTGTTTTGTTGTTCAAATTCCATTTTTCCAATTAAAATATAATCTAGTAATCAAAAGCCACAATTACTTGTACAGTGGCCCTGTTAAATAATATTTCATTAAGTTAAACCTAACATTATTTTCAGTGATTGGTAGAATAAAGTTATAAATAAGGTTCAGTTTTTTGCACAAAACAATTGTTTGAGGGCCGTGCAGGACGTTTGATTTGCTTTTTCTCAAAGTGACTGTGGCCATGGGCCGCACTAGGAAGTGAAGGTGAAACCTGTGCGCACATTTAAATGATCATATCGCATTTTACAGTTATGATTACGACAAGCATTTGATATGCATTTTTTCATATTGAAAAAGTAGTGTTGTGTATGAAAATAAATGTTTATTATAGGAATTAGGAATCTGATAGTGACAAAATTCTAATTTTACCATTAAAAACAAATGGTCTAATAATGTTGTCAATGGCAGATGACAAGCACATGTCTTAAACATCATAAATTTATAATTATGATTAGTTGTATTCTGATGTCATCATTTTACTGTCAATTAACAAACAGGACATATTTAAAGTCTTTTAAGTCCACAATAATACAAAATTAAGCATTTAGAGCAGGGGTCACCAATCTCGGTCCTGGAGGGCCGGTGTCCCTGCAGGATTTAGCTCCAACTTGCCTCAACACACCTGTCTGGATGTTTCAAGTATACCTAGTAAGAACTTGATTAGCTTGTTCAGGTGTGTTTGATTAGGGTTTGAGCTAAAATCTTCAAGACACCGGCCCTCCAGGAACAAGTTTGGTGACCCCTGATTTAAAGCAACAGTAGACCTACACATAGGCCTAAAATTATTATTGTTGTTTTACCATATGTTTGAGAATTAACAATGATGATAGGTTAATCATATTAACCTTAATTTTACATTCACAGAATCATGAGAAAAATCTTGATTTTAAGCGAAAAAAACATTGTGATTCACATTTTTGCCAGAATCGTGCAGCTCTAATACAATGTCAAGCAAGCAGAATGAATGCAAAGCGTGCACATACTGTATTTGAAGGTGTGAATTTTCATGTGATATGCACTGTATATTAAATGCTGTTTTGTTCCTTCTTAACAATAATAATAAATAAATACATTTTCACCTGCCATAACTTATGATAGTTCATGTTTTTCTTATATATTCATAGCAATGTGAAAAGAAATTTTCAGCAAACACATAAAAAGTATTTCACTGTATAATAGTACTGCACTGCAACAGGTTACTTGCTTCACAACAATTCTAATTAGGCTAAAAGCACAAATGTACTTAAAACACCTGGCTCTCGGTGGTCTCAAACCTGAGGATTTCTTGTTCCTATCATTTTCACTGCAGTAATTCTTGAAAATTAGCAGTGGGAGAATTAGAATGAGCAGGTGGTACAAATAGCCTTATGACTGGAAAGTCAGCACTTACAAGATAAAGGGATGTTGTAAAACCATTAGCAGCTATGTCATTACAACGCGCACTTCTGTTTTCTGTTCCTTTAAGTCATTTTCTTTCCCTCTCACATTGTTACTCACTCTCTCCAGTCGTTAGACCTGGAGGCGTTTGCAGTAAGTAAAGCTGCTGAAGCCAGGAAACGGATTGAGTCCCATTAGTTCCTAAATAAGAACCTACAGATCTAGTCAATAACAGACAGCAAATTTTGGTGGGAAAAGAACCATCTTTGAATTACAGGTGGCATGAAGAAAAACTGAGAGTACAGGAAGTAATGCCGTGTAAGTCATTCTAGGTGCTTTAGACAAACTACACCGTTTGTTAGCTCTTTTTGTTATCTTTGTCTTCTTGTATTGTTACAAGGTGTTCCTAATCCATATACACAAGAACGTGTGATGTAATGGACCTCAAATAAATCAAATAGATTTAACTGGATATACATTTTAATTGTGTAGACCTAGAAATAAAAAAGGCTTTCTAGGACTTTTTCATTTTTAAACAGCATTTTAGAATGAAAACCCTTCCCACTGGGCATGTACATATATTTCCGAAATCCTATTTAGTTGAGTCTTTGCCGTTTGCTATGAGTAGAACCTGCCTCCTAACCAACTGAACATCTTACAATATATAAATGCCATAAAATATGCTTCTTTATTAGGTACAACTGTCAGTCAATCACATGGCAACAACTCAGGCATGTAGAAATGTTCAAGGCAATCTGGTGCAGTTTAAACTTAACTTTTTCAGGAACTGATTATTTATTGGGATTTTTATGCACAACCCTCTCTAGGGTTTACAGAGAAAGGGCTGAAACCAGAAAATATCCAGTAAGGGGCAGTCCTGTAGGCGCAAATGCCTTGTTGATGCCAGAGGTCAGAGGAGAATGACTTGTTCCAGCTGATAGAAAGGCAACAGTAACTCAAAAAAAAAACACTCGTTACAACCGAGGTATGCAGAGAAGCATTTCTGAACGCACAACACATCGAACCTCAAGGCAGATAGACTAAAACAGCAGAAGACCACACCGGGTGCCACTCCTGTCACCTAAGAACATGAAACACAGGCTCACCACAATTGGATAGTAGAAGATTGAAAAAACGTTGCCTGCTCTGATGAGTCTTGATTTCTGCTGCAGTATTTGGATGGTAGGGTCAGAATTTTGCGTCAACAACATGAAAGCATGGATCCATCCATCCATTTTGGACCCATAAGTACCAATTGAGCATCGTGTCAGAGCCACAGCATACCTGAGTATTGTCGCTGACCATGTCCATCTCTTTATGACCACAGTGGACCCATTTTTTGACGGCTACTTTCAACAGAATAACACGCCATGTCAAAAAGCATGAA